GCTTGGGGTGGGGGCTTCGGGGAAAGAGAAGAAAGAGGAAGCTCCGACGAGTTGCTTCCTTCTCTCACTGCGACCCAGCGCCCCACTTCCTCCTCCTACTTCTATTTTCTTTGGGTGCTCTTAACCCTTAAAATGCCTGCACCTCTGCCCGTGCGGATGGGTAGCTTCACTCCGATCCTTCTGCGGGAACCTTCATAGAGATGCCAGCCAATCTCGACTTTCGGCCACTGCTCCTCCAACCTCTGTTCTGACTTCTCATTTTCAGCTGTGTCCCAGCCCCCGGGGGCGGGCGGTGGTGAGGTGGGGAGGGGGCAGTTCCTGTTTCCAGGGTCAAGGCCCTCTTCTTGCCTCTGCCTTCCCTTCCGCCACAGACGACACGGCAGACTTTGTTACATCAAGAGATGGAAAAACGCCTCAGGGACTCCCTCAAGTCTCTGCACTGTTTCTCAGTTTCCTTGTATACAAAATGGGGATAAGAAGATGGCTAAGAGAGAGAGAGAGAGAGAGAGAGAGAGAGAGAGAAGGTTGGCTACTTCTCAGGCAGCCTTCGCAGTGAAAGAACAGCAGTTTATTTTAAGGTTAGCAAGGAGCAAAAGCCGAAATCGCCACTTCCACTACTGAGTGGGAGTCTGTATCACCACGTCTGTTAGAGGCGTGCAAACTTAGCCACAAGGTCGTACGTTATTGTTGGTCAAAAGCCGCATCCCTACCTGAGGCTTTGAGAGATGTGAACACCAATGACTTTTCTTTTTCTGACTCCCTAAATACCAAGAAAAAGCAACTTCCCCAAATGGATAGAAACAGAAAGTACCCTTGGGCGAACACAGAGTGGTTCCAGTCATAGTTAGAGATGGGGAGGAGCTCGGGCTCCTCATCCACTACCCTTACCCCACACTCCACCCCTTCACAGATAAGAACTGGAGCAATGGAGGACTGTGAAGAGGTCACAGCTTAAGAGTGGGCAAGGACTCTAGTCTTCTGTCTCCCCAGTCCCTGCTTTTTCCATCATAAAAATACTGCCATTTGGGGGGAAAAGAGAGGAGTGAAGATAGAGTCAGCCCAGGGGTGGCAGCCGGGGTTGAAAGGAAGGGATAGAACGGCTCTGGAGTCAGGAATTGGGTAGCAAGATTGACACAGTGTGTGCCAGATTGAAATGTTGCATTAGAAGAGCACTTTGAAAGGCCAAAGAACCTGCCAGAGAAGTTATAGGATGCTTGACTTCTTCTGTATCCTTGGCATTAGTAAAACTGAAGACAGGAGAAAATTGCAACAGAGTTGCTTGTTAGAGCTCACTCCCAGGGAGCTGAGCATCCCACAAAGCCAACTTGGTCCAACCACGCATCCCCTCAAAATGGGGCATTCTCTTCCCCACCAGTAGCTGTGCCCCAGATGTTGAGCTTGATGTTGTTCCCTTCTCCAACACTGAGTTCTTTTTTTTTTTTCTTTTGAGTTGGAGTCTCACTCTGTTGCCCAGGCTGGAGTACAGTGGCATGCTCACAGCCACCCCAGCGTCTACCTCCTGGGCTCCTGCGATCCTTCCTCTTCAGCCTTCCAAGTAGCCGGAACTACAGGCAAGTGCTACCACGCCCAGCTAATTTTTTTTTTTTTAATTGTAGAGATGAGGTCTCACAGTGTTGCCCAGGCTGGTCTAAAACCCGTGGGCTCAGGTAATCCTCTCGTCTTGGCCTCCCAAAAGCTGGGATTACAAACTTGAGCCACCGCGCCCAGCCCCCAACACTGAGTTCTGTGTCTCTCTGTCCCTAGAGGGCAGACCGCCAACCAGATTTGATCAGCACCTGACACCTACCCATTTTCCTTTCTTTCCCACCTCCCCAAAGTAGCTGGAAAAAGGATTCTGAAAGATGCCTCTGTCACTCATTAGGCACCTTGTTATGTACTGCTTTGTACAGTCCTTTAGTTGCTTCATTTTTAAATATATGTCTGTGGGCCGGGCACAGTGGTTCATGCCTGTAATCCCAGCACTTGGGGAGGCTGAAGCAGAAGGATTGCTTGAGTACAAGAGTTTGAGACCAGCCTGAGCAACATAGTGAGACCCTGTCTCTATTATAAAAAGAACAAGAAAATAAAAAATTTTTTAAAAGGCTGGGTGTGGTGGCTTATGCCTAATATCCCAGCACTTTGGAAGGCCAAGGTAGAAGGATTGCTTGAGCCCAGGAGTTTGAAGCCAACCTGGATATTATAGCAAGGCCTCGTCTCTACAAAAAAAAATTTAGCCGGGTGTGGTGGTGTGCGCCTATAGTCCCAGCTACTCAAGAGGTTGAGACAAAGGGATCACGTGAGCCCAGGAGGTTGAGATTGTGGTAATCGCTGATCATGCCACTGGACTCCAGCCTGGGCAACAGAGTGAGACCCCAACTCAAAAAATAATAGTAAAAAAATATATATATGTCTGTAGCTGGTGCAGTGGCATGTGCTTGTAGTCCCAGCTACTCAGGAGGTTGAGGCAGGAGGATCACTTCAGCCAGGAGTTCAAGGTTGTAGTAAGTTATGATCTTGCAGGTGAATAGCCACTGCACTCTAGCCTGGGCAACATGGTGAGACACTGTAACTAAAAGATAAATAAAATAAAATAAATATCTTTATAAGTGTTCTCCTTCCTTTCACTGCCAAATGTTTCCAAAGAGGAGTGTACTTCTGTCTCCACTTCCTCATCTACATTTATTCCTCAACGTTCTGTAAAAAGGTCACCAGTAAAACCCCAATTACCAATTCCAGTGGTTTCATTGTTCTTACCTCACTACAGAGTTTGATGCCACCCCCTCCTTGAAAATTCCCCCGTTGGCTTTTCCTCGTCTACCTCTGACCACTATTTTTCTTTCTTTGTCCTGGCTTTATTTTCTTCATCACCTCTTAAACATTGCAATGCTTGAGGTTTTAGACGAGGTTGCTTTTCTTCTCCCCAGGCAATCTCGTTCATTCCTACCACATGGATCCCTCCCAAATCTAAAGCCCAGACTTCTCTCTTGAGTTTCAGATCTATAATTCTAAGTGTTTTTGCACATCCACACTTGTATAATCAATCAAAAGGCACCTTAATCACTCCATGTCCTAAAATAAATTCCTCATCTTTCTCCCAAACTCTTTCCCTTGCCTTTCCTATCCACCCAGTTTCAGTACTAGTGACTTTCTATACAAGTAACTTATATTCAGGATATATAAAGAACTACAAAAGTAATAAACAACTCAAAAGTAATAAAGACAAGCAATCCAGTTTAAAAATGGGCAAAAGACTTGAACAGACACTTCACAAAAAAATGCATGATCAATATGAATGGCCAGTAAACACATTTTAAAAGGTGCTAAACATGGTTAGTCATTGGGGAGATGCAAATTAAAACCATGAGTTCTTGGAATGCTGAGGCAGAAGAATCGCCTGAGCCCAGCAGGTCGGGGCTGCGGTGGCTGTGAGCGTGCCACTGCACTCCAGCCTGTGAAACAGAGTGAGACTCCAACTCAAAAACAGAAACCCATGAGTTACCATTCTACAGCCATTAAAATAGATAAAATTTGTTAGGGTCACACTTTCCCAGAGGGGTCTCCAAAATGTTAGGTCAGACCCGCTTTGGGTGTGGGGCGTCTGGTGTGCAGCTCGATGCTGCGTGAAAGATGCAAAGAATTGCACAGAAGTTAGATTAGAGAATGTAGTTTATTTAGAAAGTAAATTAGAGAGAAAGAGGTAGGGGTGCAGGGCCAAGGCCAGGAAGCATGGTGACACCAGAGTCCAGCAAGGCAATGGCGGGAATTTTCTGGTCATGGATGCTCATGGTTGAGTCCTTTTAAACATTTCCCTTGGATGGGAGAAGGTCATTAAGGTGATTGGGTGGTAGTCTGCTCCATGTCATCATGAAGGGGCAGGTAAGTGTAGGTATCGATGTCAGGTGATGGACAGCAGGGAGATGGGTGGGTTACTCACATGAGTTTTAGATCTTGAGAGTGCCAGACATTAACATTTTATGTCCTCAGGTGGTGGATTAGATGGGAGGAAACAAGGGGAGGGGTTTTCCTGTAAGAGACTTTGTCAGACATTTGCAGTCCACAAACTCCTTGACCAAAAAGTGATCTATTATCATTTCTATGGCTCCGTCCTTGTCTTGCATCTGATGGAGATTTGCTGAGGGGACAGGGTAGGCTGCCAGCTTGGCCTGCAGTAGAATGTCTGAATGCTTCCTAAAACCTGCCTGCTGGAAATTTATCTATCTATGTCTAACCTGTGCTAGATTCAAAGAGTGTCAGTCAAAGCACAAATGGCTATGCTGAGGCAAAATGTGAACTAAGTTTATTCTAAGTTTCTATAGGTACCTCCTTTCAAAATTCAAACTGAAAACACCAATTGTTGGCAAGGATGTGGAACAACTGGAACACTCAGATTGCTTGTGGGAGCATAAAATGGCATAACAACTTTGGAAAACTGATTGGCAGTTTTGGAAAACTGATTGGCAGTCTAATAAAATTAAATATACTTCTACATATGATCCAGCAGTTCTATTCTTAGGTATATATCCAAGATAATTGAATGTATATGTCCACACTTGTATGAATGATTATAGCAGCTTTATTCATG